GTTTCACGAGCTCGACTTCAACAATACGTGTCTCTCTGACTGCAGTTCAATTACTCATTACCTACACACATTGTCCCGTCACGTTGTGACCATCTTATATATATATACCAGCTACCCCCAATCTAGTAAATGCTAGGGCAATCACGAAGTAACAGGATATTTCTAGAAAACGTGGCGTGACACAAGTCACGTGACCTCGCTGACGCAACAAAATGAAACTCCACCAGCTAGCCTTGGCTCTCTCGCACACAAGCCCGCTCAAATGATCGAAAAACATCTGCCCGAAATTACCAAAACTGTTTTCATAAAGCATCTTCACTTTGTAGGCAATCAATTAGAAAATTGGATCACAAAATTCGGAAATATATCTGCTCCGTGTGATAGTCCTTTATTTTCAAGGTAACGTAGAATAAAATACAGCTATCCCATGAAACAGAAGATAAGTTCCCTGGCGAGAAATACTACAGAAAGTAAAACGTCAGACTGAATGTAGCACGACATTTAACTAAGTGTAGCAAATTCCAGACAAGTACTTAGAGAAATAAAACAAATGATAGATATATTCTGAACGAAAGTCCCACTAAGATATGTAGTAAGAGAAGAAATAAAAGTTTGTGATGACTGACGAGTTTTTTTTTTTAGAAAATGGGATTTTAATTCTTAAATTAAATTCTTCACTTGTGCTTTATATACACATTATTTTCCAACACAATGTAGAATGTGGAAGTTTACCGCTGCTTTTATTTAAAGTTGTTCTTTACTGCCATTAGGTGTTAATGACATAGTATTAATCACGCATGTGAATCCTGATGTACATTATAATGTCTTCATTTACGTTCCTGCTGCTTGAATCTACTCAAGTATCATTTTTTTTGTCACATGAAAGTATATGGATCAAAAATTAATTCTCCTGGAAGAAAAAGTAATACAAATTTATTAGATATACGTTAAAATAATGATACCCGTTGATTAGTGAAATAAATACAGCCTCAACTTAACCAAGGCACGGTGTGTTATGCTTTAAGTATCCTTTATAAAATACTCATAAAACATTATGAAACTTCAACAAAAATCTGTAAATTTACTAAAATTCAGTTTTAATACACCAAGCTGATTCAGATACCGGAGCAACTGATACGAAACAGGAACTTTTATAAGTTGTGATGAAACTGGAACCCCCCTTACATCATTATTCTGTTTGTAAGATGGTGGTTTTGTATAGCATGGAAATGTTATACACGCATTCCGTTCATAACTTACAAAATTAATAACTATCATTATTCAGATATAATTAGGTAATGTTTCAAACATTTTAGTATAGTTTACCTATATGAATAAGATATATATGGCTCTGAACTATGCTTAATCCTGCCCTTAAACTGTTACTTATGGTCAGGTCTGTTCGTACATGTGGTCAGTAAAGTAGATATGTCGGTACTTGCTTCTTCACAATGTACATATAAATATACACACACAGGATACATTGCTCCTCCCCTATTTTTATAATGTAACTAGTCTTCTGACATGGGTGTTACGGTATTCTGGAAAATCCTAAAAGAATTTGAAAAAAGGTTCAAGCAAAAACCTTATTCATTTCATTCCAGTCTCAGGAATAATTTCAAAATAGTTTTTATTTGGTGATTCATCAATCTATTTAATGTATAATATTTAATAGCTGACAATAAATTCATTAAATCTCAGAGACTGATGTACATCTGCCTTTAATTATGTGAGCATTTACAAATATGCTAGACAAATTAATCTTCCAACTTGAGGTGAACCTAGAGATTTGGTAGCTTGTATTTACATGTTAATGGCTGCCCAGGTATTTCCATATTGCTTGAACATTCTTAAACATGCCTTGTATCCATTCCTTAAGTTGCTAATCAACTTTTGAATAAAATACATGCATATATAAGAAAAAGAAGACAGGTGACCAAAATTCTATTTTTTTTATTTTTTTGTTTTGTGCTTGTACAAGCAATGTTAACAGTGCTGCAACCTGGCAGTGGCACAACTGATTTTCAACCTAAAAGGTAGCATAATATCATACATTTATTCTTGATAAAAATCAAAATATTTAAAGCACAATTAATCAGATATTCAAAGACTGTTAAATTATAACTTTAAAAATACACCATGACTAGAACAAAATCATTACTATAATATCACAAATCTTGGTGAAATAATGCTTTTGCTGAATTGGTACATTAATGATTTATACAATTAGTTATTCCTGACAAACCTTGGTAATTTTTTAATAATAATATAATATTAACAAATACAGTTATAATTGTTATCATTCTAACCCCCCATATTTCTTTCACTGGCCATTGCTTAGTAAACTGACGAAAATTCAGTTTTTATTCTTTCATATAGAGATAAAAGTATTTGGTAAGAAAAATACTGGCAAACATATACAAAATATTTTAGAACAATGAACTTGATTTTTATAGCTTTATTACTTTCTTCAAAATCACTTCCTTTTTTGATATTCATCTTTTATAAATTACATTCACATGCTTATAACCAAACCAATGATGAAAGACAAAATTCACCTACCCAGTTATAATCTTTAAAAAGTTGAATTTCTTAAAAATGAAACCAAAACTATAAAAAAAAAATAATTTTGCAGGATAATATCAAATTGTAATATTTGAAAAAATATTTAATAGATAAACTGTATAAATTTGTTAAAATGGATAACCAGCCTAATGAAGAGGTGTTTTACTTACTTTTGTGTAAAGATGTAGAAATGGACACTCACAAAAACTGACAAAAGTCTGCTAAAAATGTTGTGAAATAATATACAGTTATTAATATTTTCTTAAATACCTTCTTTAAGAGTAAAGTGAAAGAGTATACCTTATTAAAGATTTTGTAAAATCACTAAGACAAGTTTTCAAAGGATGGCCAAGCTTTAAGGATCTTGCTTTTGTTTTTGATTTTGTAAAAAAAAACATCTTTTCAACTGAAAAAACAAACAAATATATACACATACAACCTGAAATTATTAGAATGTAAAAACTCTCTGTATGGGTATACAATAAGCTTATTGATTTAAATTCACCAACATCACAAAAATTTGAACAAAATGTATTTATCATCTTTGGTTCCCAAATTACAGACTATAAAATATGATACAAGCCATTCAGAACTATTTCTTCTTACCATTCCCTCTGCTTTATTGAAATCAAACTAAACAGCCCAGTAATGTTGAGCATTATTTCAGAAAAATATTTTAATAAATGAGTAACAATAATATTTGCTTTCTTTTTAAAGAATATCAATACTCAGCACCAACTCAAGGCTAGGTTGAAAATCACACTCGGTAATACCAATAATGAAGATAAAATAACTGATTTTTTTTAAAGAAAAAAAAAAGATTACAGAGACAGAAATATCCCCACAAAAAACTAAAGCAAACAAATTTCAAGTATGCAACTGTAAATTCAAAGTGAAAGATTTTTCAATCAATACAAACAATGTCTTTCTTACAAAAGTTGCAGGGTTGTACACCACATTTTTCAGCCATGGGAAAATATATATTTATGCTAAATTTATCATTCATATAACAATTTTTTAATGGATTTGTTATGCGTGATTTTTATTATTATTATTATTATTATTATAATATATAGTGTATCTCAGCATATGCTTCATCAATTCTTAAAATTCTATGTTCAATTGGGCAAATCTTAAAATTTTGGTTCACTAAATTTTTCAGTTAAAAAGTTGTTTTGAAAATTTTTCCTATGTACCTTGGAAGATTAAATCCTTCTCTTATTTCTTCCTTGGTCACTTTCACGTTAAAATGGCATATCTTGTTACAAGGAATACTTTCCTTGGCACTATGATGCACTACAGACATTTTTAGAAATGTCCCAGAGGTAATTAAAAACTTCACTTATATGATTTTAACCAAAACGTGCCAATATGACTTAATACTGTGGCTTTTCTTATAGTTGGCATTTGTACAAAACTGTTTTATCTAAAACAAAAATTCAAACTTTTAGAATGTTTTCCCACTCTACATTATATGACAAACTTGAAGTTTATTCATTGCTCTGTCTTCAAGCAACTATATAATCAACATTACTACTTGCATGAAAACACCTTGTTGAAAATTTAGATACATAACACAAACATATCCCCCTTTTTTTATTAAGACTTGTTCAGAATTACACTAAGTATATGATATTTTACCATAGCATAAAAAGTAAGTATTGACTCAGGTTTCTTACATAAAAAAAAATCTTTAGTAACACCTTCAGGCTTATAATGTATTATGTTCAATTAATGTAGAGAACATTACAGCTACTGAACTTGCAGTTCTTAAACCTTTTTTTTTTAATGTATACAATAATGGAATGTTAAAAAAACGCTGATCATTGCAACTCCAGTCAACAATAACCTGGAATTAGTCGATGCATTTACCATATGGAAGAAATCTAATTTTCAAAATTTTGTTCACCAGCAAGAGCAAAAACTGCAGTTAATATATAATTGGAAATGAAATGTGCAACATTTCTGCTTTTGTGATTTTATAGTAAATTCTTGTTTGGTCACTGATAATAATCATCGACTGAAAATAAATCAAGAAATTAAAGAGGTAACACCATCTAAAATTCTTTTGCTAGACATTGTTTTCAAAATTAAATGATAATTGTATTTAGGCCATTTAAAATGTATGTATAAAAACAAATGCTTATCAATCTTCATTTCATCACAGTAGGCACAAAAAAGTTCTGTTGATACATAATGAAAATATACATTTTTTTCTTATCGCGTAACAAAATATTAAAGATACATTAATTGTTATAAAATGAACTTTCACAAGAGCAACCACTTCATTGAATGTATATATTAAGGAATAAATAAAAGTTTGAATAATCTTAAACTACAACGAGTTTAAAATGTCAATATATTTGAAAGATCAACACAACCAGTTTTTGGATTATAAGCTCATGTACATAATAGAGCATTAGATGTGGGCTGACATAAACCACATCAAAAAATTTTGCTTATTGAAACAAACCTATCACAAGATAGTTCCACCTTTCATTAAACATAATGCATGTTTGTTTCAATGTGGAGAAAATTATCTTCGGCTCAGTTCTAGTCTGATTGCTGGAAAGATATTACATAAAGTAAGAAATTTTATACATAAAAGATCATTTAATACTTAGGAAAAATATCACTTTAAATCGTACAATAGTCTGATAATTTGCATATCTACTAATCATGAAAATTATTAGTTTGCTAGTACAAACAGATCAAGATCATGAAAATTATTAGTGTGCTAGTACAAACAGATCGAGATCATGAAAATTATTAGTGTGCTAGTACAAACAGATCGAGATCATGAAAATTATTAGTGTGCTAGTACAAACAAATTGAGATCATGAAAATTATTAGTGTGCTAATACAAACAGATCGAGATCATGAAAATTATTAGTGTGCTAATACAAACATATCGAGATCATGAAAATTATTAGTGTGCTAGTACGAACAGATCAAGATAATGAAAATTATCAATGTGCTAATACAAACAGATCATGAAAATTATTAGTGTGCTAGTACAAACAGATCAAGATCATGAAAATTATTAGCGTGCTAGTACAAACAGATGATTGAGAAAATAACAAATAAAAACACGAGTAACCATCAAAGCCAAAATCAACACAATTTTTAAAATTTGGGTAGGTAGAAAAAAAGGTGATACAGGTAAAATATCTTTATAAATTCTGGATACTTCATGTTGTTAATTTTCAAATAGTTATTTGACAACTTTTCATTGTTTCAGTGGTCTGGTGTATATAACCACAACAAAAGTTATACATCTGGCCAAGTGATCTGTGTAGTTTCCGAACAATAAAACATGCTTGACTTTCTAGCACATGCAACTAAATTAGTATAATTTAAGCAGTTAATCTATTTGTTACATGGAAACTAAAAGACCCTACAAGAATTCAAATAAAAACTCAAAACATATTTCTATCATGAGTGTTGTTGTATTAATTTGACTCGTATATGATCAATTTTAATTTGTAACTGCATTTCTTATACAAAACTTTCATCGGAACACTGCACACAAATATGAAATAATCAACTCACTTTCTATAATGTCCTGTTTGGCTTTGTTTATTTCTTTTTTGACTTCAAACACAATTTCCTGTTTCATTCTTTCGATATCATAGCTTTCCAAACCATTGGTTTTTGTTAATTCACCATCATTAGATGACTCTGGTCTTGATCTATACATAACAAAAAACTAGGTAAAGAAACATGTAATGACAAATTAACAATTCCTTTCCAGACCCCACAGTCTTTAAATCTGTATGCAATACCAAAACAGCAAAGAATTGCTACTAATAGCAACAAAGAAGCCACATTTACCTAAGTACATGAAACTACAATACTTTGAGAAGAAGTCAGGTGTTACATCTTAGATGTTTGTTGAAATTTATGCAAAGCTACTTGAGGTAAAGCAGCTAGTTAACACCATCCACCTCAACTCTTGGGTTACTCTTTACCAACAAATAGTGGGACTGACCATCACATTATAACACCCCCATGGTAGAAAGGGAGAGCATGGTCAGTGAGGAGATTTGATCTTGATCATCAGGTTATGAGTTGAATGCCTTAACCAGAATGGCACCTGCCATGGTCTGGTGCAGTGAGTGGGATGGATGTGGATCAAAATTTAATTTGCCCATGATACAAATAAATTGAAATATTTCTTTAAAAACTTATAAATACATATAAAGTGCTAAAAGAAATGATCAGAAAGCAGTTAAAAAGTGAAACATAACCCACATACCTAAAATAAAAATTTCACTAGACTCATTTGCAACTTTCTGATTTTAAATAATTTTTCAATTGTAATAATGTTAATTTACAACTGCAAAATTTCAAAGTGGAAAAACAGAAAATTGTATTCAAAACAAAATATTTCTATCATGTGAAGAGGATTTTTACATAGTTAAAAACAATGTTATTTATTATCCAATAATAAATTACATATTAAAAAGGATTATATTAAAAATAAATTCATTTAAAAAGTAGATATAACAAAAGCAAATGGCAAAATAGAAAGATTTTCAATTTCCTATAAAATTCCAGATGGAGTCAATTTCACTCTAGTTGAAGAAAAATATTTGCAACACAAGTAATGTCAAAAAATATATACTAACAACACAGTTGTATTTATAACAGCAATAAGTTAAAATAAACTTCATACTCATATCATCTGCTTTAGAAAACTAAAAGTTACATTAAATTCAGAAGGATAAAAACTAAGTAATGTTTTCTTATTGTATGAAACCATAAAGTAAAAACTACTATAGGCATGATAAATAAACTTAGTATTCCAAAAATTGTGTAATTTCAAATTCTAAGGTTAAGGGAAATCCAGTTCAATCTATACTTTGATCAACGTGTGTTTCGGAGAATTTCAATCGTCATCAGTGGCCCTGAACACAAGTTAACTCTCTCCACACGGGCTTGGTCAGTTTGACTGACCACTACCTTTTTGTACTCGTATAAAGTCTTTATAGATTTGATACTACTAACTTTTGATATAGTGTATTTATTTTCACGAAATTTGGCAGTCTTTCAGTAAACATTATAAGCCTTTCACATACAAAAAAATCACATTTTTTAGTGAAGTATTTTCAATAAACTAGAAAAAGATTTGTCCTTGAATAAAGAGTATTTGTTTTGAATAGTCTGTGTACAAAGTGATTTTCATGTTAAGATTAAAAATACTTGTCTTCATCTCAAAAATCTCAAATTTCACTTGTGTAATCTTTAGAACCTCCTAAATACATTTCAAATGTTTGTTTTCAGTAAAACTTTATATTTTATCTGTTATTTTCTCTACCTTAAATGTATACAAGATTGGTCAATATGACTGACCTTGTAACCACCAAAAAAAAAGTCCTTTTCTTTCTAGAATGACTTCAAATGTAGCACGAAACTACATTCGTTTATCTTAAGTAGCTTTACACTCGTAATAGTATACATCTACTTATAATCAAATTCTGTTGTTTTATTGCCCTTTGAACCATGTCTAACTATTATTTGTGCCATTATAAACTGTAAATCATTTGTGGAATGTGCAGCTCACATTAAGCTATCAAATTACATTACCCACAAACTACTCTGAGCTGCTCGCATGTGCCTCATGAAATATTTTTATTATATCATTATTGTTTATTTTACTTAATATAACCTTAATTAACCTAAAGAGATCTCTATTTTTACATTTTAGTTAATTTTATAATAATAAATAAAGAATAAACATACAAAACAAGAAATAAAGTACTTACCAAGTATTCATTTTTTTGCTGTTGATTATTGATGAAACTTAATCCTATACTAATGGTAGTAGTGCATTAAATATACATAAACTAATAACGTGCAAAAAGTACACAATTTCCCCCAATTCTCAGAATTTTTATGGTTTTAAAAGAGACATTACAAATTCATCGAAGCTAGCTTTTTATTTTCCTACGGGAACGGATCTTGTACTCTGAGTGACATTGACAATTATCTGTTCAGAACACAAAGATATACTATACATCATTTGATGGATGAAAACTTTGAATTTCTATTGGTTATAGGTATATATATATATATATAATTAAATGTAAGAGAGAACTATTAACAAACTCTGAAAGAGAAGATGTGAGAGGTAGGTGTGGCTGGACGGGTCTGATTTTCTATCCAATAGCTCTGTAACCAAACAAAATTGAAGGCTATAAAAATTATGGTTTGTCTGAGCAATGACGATTTTATAGCATAATTTATGTTTAATTTCGTACTTTTTGGAGGGGTGGTGGATAAAATAGTGAAGATGACATGCGAAAATAAAATGTGTCACACTAGGGGAAATTCAGGATTTTTTAAAATATTGCCTTACAAAATTAAGAACTTAAAACTTGTATGTTATTAAAATATGGATTATTAGCTAAGAATATACGTTATAATAATTGGTATAACATGAACAAAAAGTAGTTTAATAACGTTTTAAATGTAAATCACTAAAAACCTTGTGTCATGCATAGTAAACGACACCCGGTGTGAGAGGGTTAACCAAAGAGAGATAAGCTGTACCTATATCATACTGCATGGCTATATAATGTGAAGAACTGAATACTAGCCAATGACACTTTTCCTTCACTTCACCTATCTAGTGTATAGGTTTTTCTCATAGTGAATACAAAGCACATTCACACCAACAGTATCTTTAACTAGTGTAGACAAACCTGCATTTCAATTTGGGTGACACTGACCCTGCTCCTTTACTTGGACTGTTGCCATTTGCTGAACTTAGTTTGTCTTTTGACTTTTTATTCTCACTAGTAGATCCAGATGTCTCTCTTTCTTCATTCTGAAGAGTAAAACTTGTATTTTCATAAAGAACAAGAGTGATGCTTAGCCCAATATTTTTAATAAACTGCAGTTACATATTCAATTCTAATTACAATGTTGATGTTAAACTGTTTTAAAGCTTGAAAGATAAGTCTTTTTTTTTCTGCGAATAAACAGGAGAAAGTTAGAATATCATCTGTCTATAGTAGAAGCTCAGAATAATTATAATAGTTTAAAGCCCTACGTTATAACTGAATATATGATTGTCATTAGGAAGGGAAAAGTCTAGGAAAAGATTTAACAAGCAATTACAAAATCAATAAACATAATCAGTAGACTTAATTCAACTTAGATCTAATTTGCATTCCCAAATATAGTGTAACCTTTCAATGTCTCATCTAAACAGAAGTCTTGGTATCAATGCTCCGAATAAGGACAAAATTTAATGTCCACCATAATAAATGTCAGTAAAACTGCCAATTAAGGAGCTAAAAAACTGAATTTATGGAGAAAACTATGCTCTATTTACTGCTAACAACTGAGGGTACTTCTGATAAATAAAATAAACACGATATAGCTCAAAGGAATTATTTTAATACACTTATCATCTGCAAATGTATGCAGCATGTGGCTAGTTATGGTATGCGAGAAATTCTAATTTATTTCATTATAAGAATATTTATTATTGAAATATTCAAAACCTAGACAATGCATACAAGAAATATGATTTACTCCAAACCTTATCAGTTGGTTTAACTAAAGTGTTTAAAAAACAAAACATCAAACACAAATTTCACACAGGGATCATCAGATCAAAAAAAGTAATTAAAATTATCTACCCAGGCAGATCAGATGTTGAATTCATGATTAAAAAAAATATATATTAGTTAATAAACCTTAAACAAAACTCAATTTCTTCTCAATTACAGGCGCTTTAAAAAAAAATCCTATATTAAAATATTTTTTGTCTGTCTTATGTTAATGCATTATTTACTACATTTGTTAATAGTTGCAATTTCATTTTTTTTTAGTAAACTGCTGAAGATGAATTAGTTAGAAATGCCCAATACAATGTTGTGTACTGTCAGTATCATCTTTACTTCTTTGATCAAATTATATTTTCAAACAAAAGATTCATTTGCTGCTACATATACTTTTATTAGTTTCATTCCAAACTGGAGTAAATCAATAAAGGTATTATTTTTATAGTAAATATTTTTTTTTTAGTAATGAAGAGTATTTATTATTAAAATACCAATCAATTTTAAAACACAAATTGAACTATTCTATAATTGTCGTATATTATATACAACATTTCAAAATTTATAAGCATGCAAACCTCCCATTTTGTTCAAGTGTTACAATCTCAACACATAAGTACAAACAATTATTTTTGCCAATGAAGAACCTGGATCTGTTGCTTCATTCAATTAATATACCAATAAAAAAAAGGTGCTAAGATCCTAATTTCTTGGAGGAAAAATTCAGAATCTAAACAAAAACTTTACATTTTACCTATATATTTTTAAAAAATTAAGAATGCTTACTTGACTGGTGTGATGATTTTGTACATGGGCTCTCCTGAAAATTATTATAATAAAAATACTTCAGTTTACAGAAGGAAAAACATGTTTTCTAATGTATCCAGCTTTCAAAATAGTTTTGCACATTATTTATAGGTTCTGCATAATTATGAATTTAAGTCATTAAAAGATCTAGCACCATTCATATGAAATTTATCATCCATCAGTAGCTCAAAAAGTAATTATTCAAGTATGTATATCTTTATTAATTTACATTATTTGTTTTTGATGGAAGTCAGCTTAATTTCATTGTACCATAACAAATAATTCTGACTTTTGATAAAGATATCTGCTTCTCCAATATTAAGATTTGCTCAAGTAAGCAGGCTATGAAACACTGAGACGTGTTCATGCGAGCAAGATGTCAAACACTGAGACGTGTTCATGCGAGCAAGATGTCAAACACTGAGACGTGTTCATGCGAGCAAGATGTCAAACACTGAGACGTGTTTATGGGAGCAAGATGTCAAACACTGAGACGTGTTTATGGGAGCAAGATGTCAAACACTGAGACGTGTTCATGCGAGCAAGATATCAAACACTGAGGTGTGTTCAAGTGAGCAATCCATGAAACACTGACGTACAAAATGGGATACAAATATCATAATTTTAAAACTTTAGCAAACAAAAAGAATATACCTCTTTAGACTTTGAACATACTGAAAGACAAAAAAACATACTTATATATAAAAAAACTAAAACTGTTTATTCAGTTTGAATTTATAACTTAAAATAATCAAATAAAATAAAGAACATTAATAACAGAATTGCAGTCAGTTTCACACAATTCAACACCAATAATACAGGTATATGCTACAGTATTGTATTTACAATAAAAAAGTTGGATAAATGTTTAACCTGAAAAAATACTTAGAACAAGACATTGCATTTTTAATCAACTCAAGCCTTACCTTCTGGCTAGAGTCTTTGTAATTTCATCCATTAGGTTAACAGGACCTGAGTGGGTTGGCTCAACAATTCCTCCTCCTTCGGAACCCTTCACAGAAAAATTAACCTAAATTGTAAACATCACTTGCATATAAAAACCTAGGCTACATTACTGGATGTCAGCAACAAACTACTGGCTTAAAAATCTTTACTCTTTACAATTATAATTTGAACCAAGTTCAGAAGGAACAGTAAAGATATCTAAAACAGTCCAAACTTTTGAACTTTTCACAAACTTTAGTTTCAAAGATTACATTAGATATACTAAATCATTTACAAAAATGTAATAATAATGGCATTTTCTACACTCTAGATATAGAAACCAACCTTAGTAATAGTCTTTTGAAGCCTAGTTCCTTTCAGTGCAGCTGCCAAAGAAGGAGGGGAGCCTTCAACTCCACCACTCAAACTTGAACCTGCACGGGGAAGAGTATGAGCTCCACTCATGGGTGGAGGAGGAGGGGCTGGTACAGTGTAAGCTCCACTCATAGGTGGAGGAGGAGGGGCTGGGGCAGTGTGGGACCCACTTATGGATGGAGGAAGGGGTGCTGAGGCAACATAGGACCCACTCATTGGTGGAGGAGGGGGAACTGGTGGAGCCCTTGATCCAGGAAGGGGTGGTGGTGGGGGAGGTGGAACAGTAGGTTGTGATGGCATAGCAGAAGCAGGTGGAGGTAGACCAGTAGATTGTAGTGGCATAGCAGAAGCATGAGGTCCACACACAGTTTTTTGATAGCCATTTTGATGGGATGGGGCTGATGAATGATGCCCATCCACACCTATGGTAAGGAAACAAAGAATTAGTCAATACATAAAATGGTATAAAGTACACAAATATTTTTGTATTTGGTTTTTTCTTCAGAGATCAATGAAACAGGCAAAAATGAAAAATATATAAATATTGGTTAATCACATCTTAATGAAGATAAGTTAATTCTAAAACAGGAAGGAAACATGATAAAAAAAAATTGAAAGTACAATGAAAAAGTTATGGCTCACTAAATGGCATAATGACCCACACTTTCAACTTTCTGTTATTAATCAATGCATGTGCATAATAATATTTCCAATCATTAAATATATTTTCTGACTGATGTGTTTGGTTCTTGACTTACTTTTTTTGTTTTGAAAAATCAAGAATAAATTTTGATTGAATATCTAAATTTCGGACTAAAATATTTCATCAATGGATGTTGCATCAGCTAAATGACTATAATCAACTTGTAAGTGATAAATATTTTTTGTTATAAAAGTTCTAAAATTGTCTACAAAATCAGTGATTCAAATTCAGTCTAGAAATAGAGTCCAGAATGTAAAATTCTATACAATATTATAGAAGTCCACAAAAATATTGTTCTCGCTACTCTTAAATAATTCAATCATTTACAAAACCCATTTTTTATAGAACATTATTGATAAAAAAACAAAAAAAAACGTTTTCTTCTAAAAAAAATCTGATAAAAACTACAAAAATGTAATAACAAAGTTATTTTTACATCAGATAAACCACTTCTTTAAATATTATCAACTTAAAAAATAGTAAATATAATATTATTGCTTTTCAAAGTTCTTGTTGTTACAATCTTTCTGAAATTACCTACATAATGAAAAACTTAGTAACCAACTATCATTCATTTCAGTGTATGTATCCAGTCATTACATTTCTGTGCACAAGATTTCAAAGTCTGATTAGAACCAGAAACAGCCTGCTGGTAATGATGTTACATTGTCCAAGTCATGCCATTAACACCACACTAGCACCAGTAAACATAAATAGATGCTGAACAAAAGTGGTTTAAATTTAGTTTGGTGGTCATAAAAATTTAAATAACTAACAGGAACACTGATAATGAGAAAATTGAACAATTCAGTGGATAATTTTATTAAAGTAACTCAAACAGATGGTTCTGGGAGGTGTAAAATAAGTCTGTAAATGTTTAAACTGTGTGTTCAGAACCATTGGCATAAATAATTACTTTCCCACTTACAATAAATTAATTTTCTCAACTGAACACAAGTCTGCCAAACTCAAGTATTTTACAAATTTATGACTCTGTTTCAAACTCTCTTTACAATCAATCCTTGAGAGTTCTCTGGTGAAATGCTTTAAATAATCGTATTGAGAAAGCTGCAGTTTAACTGAACTCTAACAAAAACTAGAGAAACATAAAACAAATATAAACTAATTTACAAATGTGTCAAAGTGTTGCCTAGAGAATTCTACTATGAATTAACCAATTAAAGTTTCTTTACAGATGTAACACTGAGTGGAATTAAGAAATATTTCATAAAGTTCATTTAAATTTAAATTTTCTAACAACCTAACATACTAATATAGCAGAAATTAAGTGATAGACAAGAAATCGAGTTCACCTGAGTTATTATTACACTGCATCAGTTCTTGTTTCTTCTCCAACATTGATTCTTCTCTGATCCTAAAGTAAACAGTATAACAGTGTTAGTGTTAAACAGAGACAAATAAAATCAGAATCAAACACAAATTCAGTTGGTGAGTGGTGAATTGTAACTAATCCTCATGGTACAAGCATCGTGTTAACAGGAATTTGATGAAGTATGGTAGAAAGTTGAGGCAAAACACATTGAAAATGTAAGAAATAGTAAGGTAGAAACATACAAATACAAGTATCAACATAAATTTTTATACATTAACAATGGCAAAAAAAGCACTACACCAGAATCAAGGAGGGGCCTTATGCTTTACTATCGATGGAATGTTTATAACAATTTTAAGGAAGCAGCTTTTTAAAAGACATTCTAATCAATAACATAAAATCACTGAAAAATATAGTGTGCTAACTGCAACAAAACACATCACTTAAAAGATAGGGCATCATGGAATCAAACAATGAGAACAGATGTCTGAGATTTCCAGCATGTACAGTACTACAGGAATCTCCAGGTTTAAATAGCATTCTATATATACCATATTTTCAGTGGTTATAACAATCATTATGATAGTTAATTCCAGTTTTAAGTCATTTTGCATGTCCAACATTTTTCAAATATCTGTCTAGCATACCTCATATTACAGAATTATTTAAACCAAATACCAGATTATAAAATTGAATACAGTACATGTCATCAGGGTTCAATCATGGTATTTAAGGAATCTATGTTTGTGTAAAATTTTTGTTATTGTATATGCTACTTTCTTTCTGGCTACAGCACAATTTGTTTTAAATTACTGTTATATTATAAAATGGTTGAAGTTGGCTACTACACAACTTTTACAGGCAATAGGTTTTTTACACTATTGTTTATGCATGTCTAATCTTTTATGATACAAGTGTCAAACTTATTTAGTTTTACTATTTAAAGAAATATCAGAGTGTAATTGACTAACTATTCTCAATATATGTATAACATTCTATTAAAATTACTATTAATTAAAGTTTATATAGTAAGTACTGCAATCAGATGTCAATGGTCTCTTTCGTCAATGGTTAAAAAGACTACTCATTAAAATCTTTAGTTTTATGAAACACTATGGTGTAAATATGACAAACTGTCTTTAAGAAAACACTACCTATGGTCATCTGGAACAGATGGTTCAATCTCGTGGTAAGTAGGCTGTTGTGGTTGTTGCTGATATACCATGGATGTTGGTGGTGGTGGTGGTCTTACTACCAAAATACAGGAACTAGTGGTTAACCTTCATATATTCAAAGCATTAATACATTTTGATGCAACACCTTTCTAAAAGTTTGCTTTGCTTATAAATTAGAAGCATAAAAGCTAGTAATGAATATTACCTTCTGAAAGTTAAGATTCTGAAACAAAATTGCATTTATTAATTGTGATGTAATTCAAATAGAAATAATTCATGTTATGAAATGTAAATTTTATAGAAACTAAGTACATTTCTCACATTTAAAAAATAATTTAATTAAGCTCAATGTATTTTGTGGTCCTACACCTTTTAGGATATGCAAATTAATCTCAATGAAGTAATAACTAAAAAAAAAAGAGATAATGTGTAAAGTGATTATTTATAAGATGGTAGAATGCCTTTTAAGAGGATCTCTTAAAAGTTATTTGAAAATAAAAATTTACAACTTTCAACTGAGAAATATTACAAGTAAAAACATCATTATTATTAGGAAATTTTCTCAAAATATCTTGTATATTCAGTGAAAAAAAAGTATCATTTATAGATTACACACACAAAAAAGGTCTTCCTGGATGGACCTGGTTCCCCAAGTTGATCCATACTCCTTTTTTCCAATGATATTAAGTAAAAGGGATATTCCCATCTTGAAAATTCTAAATCCCTGACTTCAACACATTTTGATGATCTGGGTATATGAATATCTTTCATGGAAAAGGGATGTTACATGCCCTTCCTAAAAATTATAAATTTCTGGTACCTACAAAATGCTAAAATATAATTATGATACATACTTTTCTACCATGACTTTGGAATTATATGTATGCAGTTTGGTCCTTGGGATGTCTGGGAATCCAGTAATTAGGTAATAATATTTGTTAGGATAGTGCATGTATGCATACATCACTACTTGAAGATTTGTTCTTAGTCATCAATTATTAGCTGTATCAGTAAAATATAATGAAAATATGTTTAAAAGAATGATGATAGAGTGAAATAAGGTATTAAAAGATTTTTCAGAGCAAGGGCACACTGCTTTTGATGATTTTATTTATGTATTTTACTACTCTCTAAAAGAAATTAATGTATTATTAAATTTAACTCGGCTAGTTCAAGTGTCCAGCATATACTTTCAATTAATACTATTTCATGACAATGATATAAGGTTGAGGAAAGGGTTGTCTCTAGTTTGAACTACTTAAGCACACATTTTGTTGGACCAATCACCCAGTGCTGATGAAAACTGAAAAACAGAGTCTAGCAACAGTTAATGACTTTTTGGGCAGCTTGGAAACTTTTTTTTTTTGCATGAGTAAATTTCTACAAGTTAAGATTCCAACTTTTTGAGAGTAGCCAAATTATAACCAAGAGTTATTGGAAAGTATCAAACCAATGCAGTATGCACAAAATATGCAGTGTTTCCTGTATCTCTTAGTTTAGTAAGGTTAACATTTCACATTCAAGTAGAATTTTCGAAAACCTTCTCATAAATATCTATAGCTGTGTGACTTCAGTTTAACAATAGCACATCGGTCACAGAATGTGGCTCAATTACTTTTGCTCCAGTTACACATTTTTCTGAATCAGTCCCCTTTGGTGTCACATACATTTTCTAATGGAAAAGACTGCTGTATAAATATGGATGGCAATATTTACCACTGGTGGGTCAGGTGATACTTCAAGAAAGTGTTCTCATCAGTTGTTACTGGAATGACCAACAGTGAAATACATACTGAGAGGAATGTCACTAAATTTTTGCACATAGTATAGTGCTATTTCAGTCTCAAACATGTTTTAGTTTCAGGTTAAGAACTAGAGGGACTAGAGCAATTAGTCTCCAATATAAGCATGGTTTATTGCTCTGATAGGCGTTTTAACATTACATAAAGATAACTTTTCACTCTACTCATTGTTTAACCTCTTACTTCAAACTCTTCAGAGTGAGAGAAATTCAGTTTAACAATTTAACTCTGATACATTTCCTGACATTACTCAAGCTACTATGGTCATTCCACTCATCTCTAAGGTTCAGTATACCTGAGAATACCACATGCTTTCACTAACACACAGACATAGGCATAAGGGCTTGATTTTGACTGGGGGGGACCATTTTGCCTAAAAATATAAAATCAACCTTAAAATCATGAACTACAAGGTTTAATGTCACTTGAAAAATATGGTTCCAATGACTTCCATGCAGAACCATACGGAGCTAAAGGGTTAAAATGGTGCAAGTGAAAATGTCACATGTACATAATATATTTTCTGAAAAGATGATCAATTTACAAATATAAAAGTTATAGATATGTACAGAGCTTTTGCCTGAATATTTTGGGTAATTTTTTCCCATAAAATTATTTGGGCAAGAATTTTGGGGAGGGAGCAATTGCTCCCACTTGCTCCTATGCCTTTGCACAAAGGTACCTCATTTCTTTCAAATATCATGTAACACAAGCAAAACAGAAAAACAAGGAATACACAAAACAACTGTTCCAAGCAATAACATTACAGCTATATATTTAGGTTTTCCATTATCTTGTACAGTATGAATTGAAATTTCTTTTATATGTCTTCTGTGTTCTATAAACAAGTAAAAAAAAAAAAAAAATTTATCTGTAATATCAAGTAACATACACATATAGGTTACCACACTAGCTTGTAATCATGCATGATAAGATAAACAGCACAAATAATGAATATCAAAGGAATTTTCCTCATAATTATAGTTGGTTTAATTTAATGCAAGATAAGAGACATCCTGTCATGTTTAATTTTTGTTAAGTGCTGAAGCTATTATTTGCTCTGTAACAGGATGACATGAAAAGGACACCAAATATCGAAGTACATTAGTACAATATTTTATTATAAAAGAAAAAAAAAAGAGTACAAAACAAAATTACCATTATTTTGGTTTAGCTTTTCTAAAGCTCTTTGTAGGGCAACTGAGAAAGTCTCAGCTTCTTCTTTGCTGCTGAAATTAAGACCATAAACCTGCCGACTGTCCCTCCACTGAAGGAAGGTAGCAGTGGCTTGGTTGTATTTCAGCCCTTTTATGATGGAACAGTTGATCACAACCTACAGAATAGCAAACAATAAAGACATACCCAAACTGTGATGAATGTTTCTGGATGTCACTGAAAAAAAAAAGTAAATATTGTGTGTAATTACAAAATTTTTGAGATTTTGAAAGGAAACAAGGAATCAAAATCAGGCTTGGTAAACATAACACAAAATGAACACTACATCATATGTGGTCAAAAATGCAAAAACACCCATAAAAACTGAAATTTATATATATATATATATATATACCCCTGCATGGACCTAATGAACCACCAAAACAATTTGGGTGAAAATCCATCCTCACTCTCCAAAGTAGTTACATGGACATACAAAAGACAACAGACAGTACTATTATATTTAAATAGATTCAAATAAAATTTTATATGATTTTTAGTAAGAAATGATAAAATTTGAAAGAGTTTGCAATAGAAATAAATTGAAATATAAGTAGTTGTTGATCAATACTACAATAAAGTATTCTATAACTTATGATTTAGAAAATACCTTAAAACTTCTCATGAAATTACCTCATGATCTTGCAGCTTCCGCCCCACTACTCTGAATGTGTTATTAGTAACATGATGATAAAGATGAACTTTAGAAAGACCACTTGATGAGCCACTTGGAATCCACTTTTTGTTCTGGTCATCGTAAATCATAACAGAAGCTCTCACCGAGGCCACTGACTGCTCTGAACTGTATAACAACAAGATTTTAGAACTGAGATGAAGCTTCTAAAAGTAACACATTGACTATTTGTTTAGTTGAATTACCATACCATTTCCAAGAACAATGCTCAATCACTGAATAGTTTTATTATCAACTATTCCTATTACAGAATCAGCATATAAATACTTCAAAATATTTTTGCCTTAAATTTCACTACTGAGAAATGTCAGTTTGTTTTTTTTAGTAGCTTCTATATCAAAACAAATGCAATTTTTTTATACAAGTATACCAAATCAATCTCACTTAAAACTTCTGTAACTCATAACACTTAGTTTCATTATAAACTTTTAAAATTAAACACAACTGCTAACAAAAATATTTGCTGACAAGAAATATCATGCCACATATTTTGTTTTAATATCAATCTTCATTTTGCACTTCATTTACAGATAATTTGGCCCTCAGCTAGATTTTCTTGGTTCCTTCACGTAAAACATATACTTCTCAAATTAGAACCTTTACACATTTTCTCATCTAATTTTGTTTGTTTTGCTTGGTATAATTTAAAATTATTAAACTTACAGTATCAGACAGCATAATGTATTATACAATTTTGAAACAAATACATAAAAACACATTCTGTCTTTAAGTTTTGACTTCATTAATATACACGAGTTCATAAAGTTAACTGTTAATGTTAATAAGAATAAGATTCTATATTCTTAGTTCTTCTTTCGACAATAAAAAATACTTCACAAGTATGAAATGAAGAAAGAATAGCCTCAAAGACCGATATAAAAATAAGCAAATGTTACTTTTTTAAAGAACTGGTTAAGAGAATAGAAGACAGAACACTACCATTTTATTTTGACTATGAATAAACTCATACATTTAATTATACGAGATTTAATATTTGATAATTTTAAGTTAAAAGTAATACATATTATTAAAAATTAAAACAATTACAACGTATTTTACTGTTATGAAATCCTTTTTTTTTTATCTTACAAATTGAATAATACACTCGGCATTGATAAAAGAGGAAATTATCTTGTATAATGTATATAATCAAAACGGATTAACAACAAATGTTATCAAAGGCCCTACCTTAGCCTAAAAACTCCAAATGTTATCGTACATACACTAAACAAATAAGTCCAGATAATATCATATCAATATACACGTAAAATATAGCGTCAAACAGAAAAAACAAAACAAAAAACGATAATGGTTCTCTTGTGGTAAGTGGTCGAGTATCTGCAGTTGCATGTTTATACAAACTCCAGTTTGACGTTTGTTGAAATGATGAGAAAGTACTTATGTTAACAGTTTATCGAAACTGAGGTAAACTACTTGTGACTTGCACTGACTTCTTTCCTCTGCCATTTTATTAATCTTCCTAAGTTCTTAGACGCGAGTAAATGAAAAACAACTATATTACAAGAAGATAAATAGGGATATTCCAAGATAAAAAAACACATCATAAACTTGTACTGCATATAGAAAATAATTAATAATAACTATACAGCACGTTCTAACTCAAAACTTACAAAAATAATACAAACAATGGTATGTTTCTAATTAGGATTTTATAAACATGGTCAGGTAAAATTCTATCTAGGAATACATGTAATTCCACGCCTATTTTACGTTTTATAGTGTAGCATAAAATACCCGCACTCCCCTACCCCTAATGATTTATAGAGGCCTCAGTAAACCAATAAAGCTCCTCTATTATGTCTAATTACTTCCATTGCTACCCCAAAGGAAGTACGTACTCGAATGAAAAACTCCCTAGGATATCGGTCTGGGTTACCTGAACACGTATGTCAAGATTAGTCACGCCAGCTGTGAGTGGGGGGAGTGAACACATTTTAAAACATGGCGCCCCCGGGATAAGGAACGTAAAATACGATACCGGATTCGCATTCAGCGACTCTGAAAACATATTCCTAAAACTCTACATGCCCGTGTGACTTTCCATGATACCGGGACAACGTCTCGTGAATAAGGTCCCCTCCCTCCCGAGCCACCCCAAGTCCACCAACAAAGTTTGGTCCTGTTAGCTTCAGAACTGTGGGAGAAGTTAGATGGACATGTCACATACATACAAAGTTACAAATTGAATTAATATAGGATCATGCAACGTCTTACAAGTTCAGTTCGCATGTAATGGAAACTTGGCGAGTTCATAATACGAATTACAGAACTCCATACAAAAACTTAAAATACTCTTATCAAACACGACCTGTTAAACTCTTCATCTCATAACAAAGTTAAAGTAAATACTTATACAAAAATGGAATTGTAACATCACAAGAACACACTTAATTCCTGTTTTCAAATGTAAACCAATTATTCACTATTGGAACTTGGTTTCCAAAAAATGTGAAATATACTCTTGAAACCAACACAAGTTAAAGTATAGAGGTCTAAAAATTTAATTATTATATAGCCTCGTTACAATCAAGAAATTGTGACTTAATTTAACATATGTGTTAAAATTTATTAAAAATGCTCTGCTTACTCCACAGAATCCGTGCTAGTTTTAAAAAAATATCAGTCACGTCATCAGGCAGTAATTGTTAGACTAATTATATCGAAATTTTGTAATTAGTATACCAATAATATTCTACATCTTTTCTTTTATTTGTAATAAATTTTATGCAGTTTAACTCGGTTACAATTCTTAAGTGAATTAAAAGTCAAACTGAACATGCATTCAGTCTTGTAGCACATGAACAAAATGATGTAATATGTTAATTATGCTTTATTTTGCTGTGTTCATAAGTTATCTACTCTTTAAGCTAAAACAGATTTGACTTTTTTTACCTCAAATGTTTTTAAGATTGATTTCACGTATTTTTGTGTAACATCAAAACAATACACTAACATTCAATCATTACTGGTTAACCAGAGCTTTAAATAGAAGCAACTCTTACAGGGAAGTAATATGTACATCAGGACGTTGCCAATATTAAATACATTTCCAAGTATATTACATGGGATTGGACAGTGCGTTACCTTTAAGCATGACAAAGTACGAGAAAGAACCGGAAGTATCAGTTACATAGGAGGACACTCTCGTTCTCAGCTGAGCTATGAAGAATGAACTCTGGGAAGAAGAGTATTTTTTGGATGTTCTTACTCACTCACCAATAATGTGGCTTGCTTTAAACTTTAAATTATAAAGTTATTTAGAACTAAAATGATATAGGTAACTGCATCAGCTAAACAGACGGAGATTGAATTCAATGCTTCATGCCGCTAGCGCTAGGATTAGTATATATCGTAAAACTTAGAGATAAAATAAGGGTTCGTTAAGTGCTTGCATTGGAAGTACCGAGTCCAGCGCCAGCATCTACTCCTGCAATTAAGATACTTATTACTTTGTTTGAGTTGCTTCCCTCAATTAACAGTGAATAACGACAAAACAGGTTTTTTGAAAGCAATTTTACTTTATATATATAATAATCAAACTTTGAGAAAATATGAACTTTCCTTTTCATACCACTGAGAAAAAAGAATACTTTGACAATTTAGTTTTACTGTTGAACATACATTAAAGATGCTGAAAATTTTGAACTTCACGTGTCTCTAGAATCAAAAGTAGGTAAAGCTGGTGAATGACATTTTGCAGACCTGTTCTAGAGGTGCATTAAGCTCAGGATAAAGCAAGTATTTGTAATTTTTCATTTGAAGAATAATAATAAACACGCATATTTTATGTATAAAAATATATAAACAGAAAAGACTGCAGTAGTTTTATTTTCTTTTGATTACAAAACTATTGTTTTGTTTGTTTGATAATTATTTCCATCATATGAAAACAAAGATGTCTTAGTGAACAAATACATAATGGGCTATCTGATCTGTATTCACTGCGGGAATCAAACTCCGAATTTTAAATATATAACCCCTTAATTTAATAGCCAACGGAGATTTTGAAGTCAAGTAAATTTTTTTTTATCAAACTATGCTCAACTATGCTAAGTGACTTCACTCTACTTGCTATTGGTTTCCAACTTTTCCTAAACATATGTATATATATCACACCTTTAATTAAATAAATATAGGTGAAGGTTATCAGATTTTTGAGTAGAGATCAGCTTTACCCTTTCAAACCTGCTAGCTTCCTTGCCCCTCTCTGCCTATTAAACGTTATTGCTTTAATAAATATTACTAAACTTCAGTTAGCTAATTTGAAATGACACGTCAACTACGCATTTAGTCTTCCCTAAATTATGACAACATGCATTTTTTATTAAGAATTCATACTTTTTTGTGAACTAATTATCCACTTTAAGCACTACTAAAATTTATATGTACACTATAAACGAAAGCCTTCGGTAAGAAAAAACAAAAATGAAAAGCATTTTGGCCATTTGAAAACTAAATTCAATTTTCCGGGAAAATGTGACGCGCCAAAGAAAAGTTGCACAAAATAAGGGTACAATATCTTAAGCTGTTTTATCTCTATTCGAAGTTCGACTGAATTCCGACATACAGACGCCAATTCGAAAGAAGGAACAACAAAGAAGATCATCGTTTCAACCTGTTACAGGCGTAATTATTCTCTCGTTAATTCAACCAATAATGTGCAAACGAGGAAGTCGAACGAAGTGGGCAGGTTTGAATGACTTTGAAATGACAAAAATCTTTAAAATATATATAAACAATTCAAAGTGCATGGCAACCATCTACTTATAGGTTGGACAAACTGATGGAGTAATGGAATATTCTTTGTTTACATGCACACGTATCGCTGGAAAGACATGTTACATGATCAGGCATGTGAGCAGTTTTACCAAGTCTGCTTACAATAAGTGGAATAGGAGTTCGTTTCTTTTTTTTTCTTTTTTTAAAGAAAACATTATAGCTCGTTGAGAGTTGGTGGTTGCGGTTTTTTGGGTTTATTTTATTCTGAGATCACTTGTTTGAGTTTATATATAACTGACTTCAACACAGTAAAATAGCTGCAGCAGTGGTTTCGACGATTGTCTAGGTCAATAAATAGCGTACTAGTT